GTAGTAGTAAAGAGGGACGGCCAGATTAAAATCATACAGAAAATATGTAAACAGAGAGTGATTTGTGCTGCTTGAAGATCACTAACAAAAATTGGAAAACAATGAAAATGAAAGAAAACGCGAAATTGAAATTTATGTGATAATATCTTTTGTGATGTCATGCTAAGTGGTATTGATTTTCAATGAAAATTTTAAAAACATTTATAATTGAGAGCTAATACATTTATTCTTTTGATTACGTATTGAAAGTTCAAAATCAATTGTTTAATAAATCACAAAATCCAAAATCACAAAAAGAGTATAAAAGTTTCTGCATATGTTTAACGGATAATGTATAATAATATTTAATCTTAATAAATGATGGTATTTTAATTTAAATTCCCAAAAACTATTATTTGGTCCCATCTGGCTACAAAGGAAAATGTTATAAAAAACGCTCATTTTGAGGCGCTCTCACACTGGAAAGAGTTGGGCATCCCATTTGTTATTGATACTGAAGTAACATACATATGTATGTGTGTCTAAAAGGTAACCAACTTAATTTAAGGTGTAACCAAACCCAATCAACAATTATGAGGCGCCAATTAAAGGCGTTATGGTAACGAGCGGATGGACTTGGAGAATCTATACTATAATCTAATAAAACTCAAAAGGAATTCGTCTCAGAAATAGTTGGCTCACACGCAAAAATCCAAAGACCTACTTTGTCCGACCTAAATTTCTTACAAGTTCAGGCCGTTATAAATGAAAATGGTGTATTCGACAGGCCATGTTCTCAAACTTTGACCGGAAACTGTGTCTAATGGATTAAAATCTGGCCTTCCAGACGGCGAATCATCAGCAGCTATGAAACTAGAAATATTGCTTTTGTCTGTGCTGGAAGTTCCAATGCTCTCCATCGAAGAGAATATTTCTTAACTGTTTCCCACCTGCTGGTACACGTTTGCCTTAGTTCATACCTCTTTCACAGAAGTGCCTTTAAAGAGATTCTATCAAAACATTACAGCAGCTGAATGCTGACCTCGTTGAACGCTTGAAATTTTTCCTTGTAAAAGAACACTTCATGTCCGTTGACCTTACTGGCCACTGAAGAAGCCGCTTGCATCTGTTGACCTAATTTGCTTCAAGCTGGTGTCAGAAAATGACAACTTTAACGATAGTAGACTTTTATGTGGAGATCATCTCGAATAAATCTTGACATTGATCTGGTCTATATATTTCTTTTCCGTTGTGAAAAGTTTTTATGGCTGACTTGGTTCGAACCGCAGGTTTAGGAAAACGATCAATTGTGCGGTAAACAAACATTATCGAAATATCAAGTTTTAAAAACTCATACACATTCACTAAAACACGGCGGCTCCGGTCTTAAGTGGACCTGCTAATAGAGACGTTGGTGGCTAAAAACATGTTAATACCACTTAGTTTGTTTACAAGCAAGCTTTGGATTGTTAAAGCAGCATAAAATTCTACGGATATACCTATTAAAAACTGGCAATGACACAAAAAGATAAGACGCATTTTTGTTAGAATATTCAATCACTTTAAACTCGATAAGTCAACATTATGGAAGTTAGCTGAAATTACATAGTAATATAATGCAGTAAGTTTATCTGTTTCGTCAAGGAAATAATGCCATAATAACCAATTTTTTCATGTTTTCAATTATTTTTATTATAAGCAATAACAAAACAGAAACAGAAAGTAATCATTTTCAAATTACAGAAAAGAACGTTACTTTAAAGTAAATAACTAAAATATGTATGCACTGAGAATAAATTGCGAAATAAAGTTCAAACGGGTTATTTTTGAACTTTGATGGACGGTTAATACTTCCTTGGATAGCCTTTGGATTTTTATAGCACTCAACCTGGATGGCACGGACTTTACAAGTTTTGGTCACTAAAGGTGGAATCTTGCTGCATTTTCGGTTAACGCAGCTTTCAAAGATTCTTTGCTGGTTTTTTGGTATGTTCTGATTTTTCTAATAAGCCCACAAATATTCGATAGGGTTGACATCTGGAGATTGGGATGTGTATTTAATTGTTTGGGTGTCTTGTAAGAGCCATTGCTTAACAATGCGGGCGGTGTGTTTGGATCATTGACGTGTTGGAAGACAAATGATTCTTCAAGTCCCCATTAGCGGCACTTTCGTTCAATTTGATTTAAAAATGTTAAGGTAATCATATTTGTTCATTGTATGCTCAATGAACACAAGATTACTTACTCCAGACGCTGCCATACACCTACACGACCGACCACCATCTTTTACCGTGGCAGTCATATTCCGTGTCCGCATCATACAGCACTCGACGAATAGTTTGGGGATTGCAGATATTACCAACCTCATTTTCAACTTCTGTACTCACATTTGGGGCACTCTTTTTGGGTTCGCCTGTGTCTTGCGTGTTATTATACGCCGCTCGTTTGCATCAAATATTTTGCCGCCCAGATCTTTCCTTATTGTTTGTATTTCTCTCTTATTATATTTTTCTATTATTTTTTGAACATTAGAACTACTTTTATTTGTTATTTTTCAATTTGCCTCGTGACTTTTTCTTTATATAGTTTTATTATATTATCTTATAATATATGTATGAATAATGTGATAATTCTCTTCTACGCGTGCCATGATCGAAATGTAAACTAAATTACGGTGGAAATCTTATATCTTAAACTAAAAATAACTATTTATTGAATTGGAAGCGGACGAACACTGTGTGCCAGTCGAAAACATACTGACATGGTACATTGCATATAGTATATTTATGTGACGCGATTTTGTTTTTACTCAGAAAATCCAACGGCTCTTTAATAACGGAAAATGTGAATGATATCGATCTATCATACTCAAGAAGGCGATATTATGAGTAATTGTTATAAAAAAAAGCCAAAAAGTTTTCTTTTTATTTTGCGATTAATTTGACTTTTTACGCATAATTAATAGCGCATACTTATTTGTGATATACCGTATATGTACACATAAACAAGAAAAACTTGCGAAAACAGAAAAAAATTATTTTACCCGTAACGATTCGAAAAATTTACGTAAGAAAACGTGTAGTCTAGCAACCCAACCATATTCAATGAAAATTACGTTTATTTTAAATGTCTCCTTCTGCATGTTACAAGCTTGGTGGGAACTTACCGGCTCAGGGTATAAAAATAACAATATAAATCAGAAATCAAAATAAAAACAAGTAAGGAAGGGCTAAGTTCGGATGTAACCGAACATTTTATACTCTCGCAAAGTCAAATGGTATACTCGTTTGAAAATTTTTGTGGATTGGCTGATATTTTCGGTAGAGTCACCTATAGGCACTGGGTCCATATATTTAGTACTTAGGGGCTTGAACAGTTTTGGTTCGATTTAGACAATTTTGGTCCAAGGTGGCATACTTTAAACGTATTATTCACGCAAAGTTTTACCCCGATATAATCATTGTTGCTTGATATGCATAGTGGAAAGTGAAAGAATCAGATGGAATTGAAAATGGTGTTATATGGGAAATAGGCGTGGTTGTAGTCCGATTTCGCCCATTTTCGCACTATAGCATAGAAATATGAAAAGAACGTTATACACCGAATTTGGTAGAAATCGGTTAAGCAGATCCCAAGATATAGGTTTTCACCTAAAAGTGGCCTGTGCCACGCCCACTGTCTAATTTTGAACACAATTCCTATAAAGTCATCTCATACCATCCCAGAGATAAAATTTAATGTCTCTGGCGTGTTTAGTGCTTGATTTATCGCGCTTTTAGTAGTTTTTAACAGTACCGTTATATGGGGAGTGGGCGGAGTTGCCACCCGATTTCAATATTTTCACCACTGGTAGAGTTCTAAAAAAATTGCTTCCAGTGAATTTTGTTATTATAGCATTAGCGGTTTAGGAGATATGCACATTAAACCTATTAGAGGCGGGACCACGCCCACTTTTTAAAAAAAAGTTTTAACTGCATATGCCCCTTCCTAATGTGATCCTGTGTACCAAATAACAGTCTTGTATCTTATTGCGGAGCTTAGTTATGGCAAGTTATTTGTTTTTGATTAATGGCGTTTTGTGGGCGTGGCAGTGGTCCGATTACGCCCATCTGCAATATGGGGAGTGGGCGGAGTTGCCACCCGATTTCAACTATTTTCACACTGCAGGTAGAGGTTCTAAAAAAATTTGCTTCCAGTGAATTTTGTTATTATAGCATTAGCGGTTTAGAGATATGCACATTAAACCTATTAGGAGGCCCACGCCCACTTTTAAAAAAAGTTTTAACTGCATATGCCCCTCCCTAATGTGATCCTGTGTACCAAATAACAGTCTTGTATCTTATTGCGGAGCTTAGTTATGGCAAGTTATTTGTTTTTTGATTAATGGCGTTTTGTGGGCGTGGCAGTGGTCCGATTACGCCCATCTGCAATACCAACCGTCTCAGGTACAAGAAACATGTCTACCAAGTTTCATAAAGATATCTCAATTTTTACTCAAGTTAGAGCTTGCACGGACGGACGGACGGACGGATGGACGGACAGACAGTCACCCGGGTTTCAACTCGTCTCTTCATCCTGATCATTTTATATATATAAACCTATATCTAACTCGATTAGTTTTAGGTAATACAAACAACCGTTAGGTGAACAAAACTATTATACTCTGTAGCAACAGGTTGCAGAGTATAAAAATCAATGTAAAATCCTTCCGCCCGATTGATTGACTAATTGAATGTGGGAAATAGTTAATATACCGTCTTTTATAAAACTTATATGGTTGTTTTGCTAAATTCGCGTGAGTTCCTGATCTGTATAGAAAAACTAACATTTTGTATGTAATTAAACAAATATTGAATCAAGTAAAAGTTCGTTCGGTTTTTTATTGATTTTCAAAAATGAAAACTTTGTGTACATTTGTCCGATTTAAGTCAAATATGCGCCTTTTGTTCGTAAACTTCTTGCCAACGAGATGCCAACTTCTTAATACCCTCTCGTAGAAGACTGCGTCCCTATTGGCAAAAACTCGGAGAGCCAATTTTACAGGCCTCTCTTGAAGCCAACTTCTCACCATTAAGCGCGTTCGCCATGACAGGAAAGATGGTAATCACTTGGTGCCAGGTCCGGACTATAAGGTTTGTGCATTAGGACCTCCCATCCGAGCTCCCGAGCTTCTGGGCGTCACCAAAGACGAGTGTGGCCTGGCGTTGTCCTGATGGAACACAATTCGGCCTCTGTTGATCAAAGATGGCCTCTTCTGGATGAGTGCTGCCTTCAAGCGGTCCAGATGTTGGCAGTAGAGGGCCGAATTGAGCGTTTAGCCATAGGGAATCAGCTCGTAGTAGATGATTCCTTGCCAATCCATCAAACACACAGCAAACCTTCCAGCCGCTTTTTCGCCTTGGTCGAAGAAAAATTGTATAATATAGCGAATTTTCTCTTTGCCGGTGCCCATCTTTGACGAGCGCTCACAACGTACTGAGTCAATCAATCGAAAAACTGTCAAGACAAACTTTTAGCGCTTGTACTATGGACAATAACGCCATCTCTAGATAAAAACCGAACGAACTTTTTACTTCACCTATATATTAAAAAGTTGCAAACAGTAGCCTCTACCTAAACGATACCTTTATATCGAACTGCATATGTATATACAACAACGAAATAAACTAAAGATGAATCAAGACTTAGCAAATGATTGAGAAAAAAATAACAGTTCAAATGTAGTTGTTACGACTAAACACATATAAACAAAGCAAATTTACACATATACATACATATAAATATTATAGAATATATCAATCCTTAAGTTTGGTCCAAACAAAATACGGTCTCGAGGCAACACTCTATAAAGAAGTAGAAGAATTAAGTATTTAGAAAACCTTTTATGATAATACATATGCGTATAGCAAGAACTTAACAAATATTTTATTCTTTACTAAAGGAAATTACTTATCAGGAAATGTTACATTTATTTTTGTTACAAAAACACAGAATAATAGAATATTACTTGTACAGAATTAAGTATCCTGTTGTCAGTTAACTAAAAACTATGTTTCAAACTTTAAAATTTTAAGTATGAAACACTATTTGATTATGCCTGTTTCAGATGGTTACAGATAATTTATATAATTAATTTTATATATGTTGGTACACCCAAATTTTTATTTTTATTTTAAATTACAAAATACAACCTTTCTACTAAATATGGTTAACCATATATTATTTCATCATGGATATATACGTACTTACATACATTGAGAAATTTACAATGTAAAAATAAAAAGTTTACGCATATAAAAATACATACGAGGATAGCCCAACAGAATTAACTCTACAAAAATTGTATTGACTACTTTGAAAATCTGATTTTATTAAATATCAGTTTCGGTGGTCTCTCTGGATTCCGGAAACTGAATAAATTTCTGAAAAGTTACGACATCTTTACTTTTCGATCTATTTTTTGTATGTCCAGTATGCACTGCTACTACTTCATCAGAATATGCTCCTAAGCTTTCGGCATAGGTGCTCTTTGAATTGTAACTCTACAAAAATTGTATTGACTACTTTGAAAATCTGATTTTTTAAATATCAGTTTCGGTGGTCTCTCTGGATTCCGGAAACTGAATAAATTTCTGAAGAGTTACGACATCTTTACCTAATTTAACTTTATATGATCTCGGATTCAAATTAGTTCCAATTATTATGCCACTTTTATGCGGGACACTTTTTCCATCAGCGTCATGTACTTTCACCTTACACCTTACCTTACCTTACTTTACAAATTCTTTCAGATTTTTAGAGCCTTTATCGTAATAACTTTTTTGTTTCATTTGTTGATCAATTAATCCTTTATAATACTTATTTTTATTAATTTTGACTTCTTGTCTACAATCAGGTATAAGATGTTTAACTTAATTAAATTATCATTATTTACAGGCATATTCCTTAATTGTAATAACGCTAATTGTTTATCTTTATTTTCTTGTATAATTCTCTTTAAAATTCGTTTTAACGTTTGAATATGCCGTTCAGCTACACCATTTGCTTGATGATGTTTTGGAGATGTAATTTTATCTTCAAATCCCCATTCTTTAATAAAATCTTTAAATTTACAGGCTGTAAATTGTGGACCCGAGTCAGTATACAAAACTTTCGGTATGCCGTGTCGGGCAAAAATACTCTTTAACGATTCAATCGTAGTTTTTGCTGACATGTCATTGCTATATTTGCTATAAGTATCTACTATAAGTATCTACAATAATAATTCTTTTCTAATAAGTAAAATAGATCATTCGACAGAATTTCCCACGGGTTTTGTGGAACTTGTTTACTTATCATTGGTTCTTTAGCATTTGCATTTTGGTATTGATCACATAAATCACATTTTTCAACTAAGTCATTTATTTGTTTAGACATTCCAGGCCAATATAATAATTGTCTTGCTAACCTTTTACATTTTTCTATTCCAAAATGCGCATAATGAATTTTTTGCAACATTTATTTTCTACGAGAATTAGGAACTACAATACAATTTCCTGTATAAATTATACCATTTATTTCACTTAACTCATCATTAAACGTAAGGTATGGCTTGGCACTTTCAGAAACTTCACTTTTATTATTAGGCCAGCCATTGCGAATGTACTTTAATACTTCTTGTTGCTCGATATCCTTTACAGTCTCATTTTTAATATCCTCCAATCGATTGTCAGAGATGTTCAAATTTTCCTCTATCATAGCAGAACCTATTTCATGATTAATATTGTCAGTTATTTTTTGAAAATTTCTACTCAATTGATCAGCTATAGTTAGCAATTTTCCTGGTATATATTCTAATTTAAAATCAAAAATTTGTAAACTAATTAACATTCTATGTAATCTTGGGGGACATTTATTTAGCGGTTTTTCAAAAATCGGTACTAAAGGCTTATGGTCTGTTTGAACTTTAAATCTTTGACCAAAAAAAAATTGCTCAAACCTTTTACACCCATATACAATTGCAAGACACTCTTTTTTCAAATCAAAGTAAGCTAAGGTTGATGGTTTACATAATAAGCATTTTAATTTATCAAATTCATTTTGTTGATTTTTTCCCCATATAAAAGGAACATCTTTTTTATTTAAAGCTCTCACATTAAAAGTAAGTTGAGCTGTATTCGGCAAAAATTTCGAAACATAATTTGTAATTCTTTTCCAAAAAACTTTGTAATTCTTTTCTGTTTTTTGGTTCACTCAAATTTTTTATTGAATCAATTCTATTTTCATCAATTTCAATACATTTTTCCGAATAGACAATACCTAAATATTTAACTTTTGTAATTGTTTTCTAAATTGAACTTTATTCCAAACTCTCTGGCCCTTTTAAACACTTTTTAGTTGTTATGTATATTTCATTTTCAGTTTCGGCATGTGTCAATATATCATCTATATATATTTTAACATTGTCAATATCTTTCAAAATTTCAGAAAAAACTCTATGGAACACCTCTGGACTTGATGAGAGTCCATATGGTAATCTGTTAAACATATAACGTCCAAATAGAGTATTGAAGGTTGTATATTCTCTTCCTTCTTTTCTCCCCGTTAACTCTTTGTCTTTTTATACACGAATTCAAATAACGCGTTTCTAAACAGAACCTCAGTTCACCATTTGGTTTGTATACTATTACTAAGGAGTTAACAAATTCAGTTGGCTTTTCTACTTTTTGAATTACTCCCATTAAGACCATTTTATCAATTTCTTTCTTTAATTTATCTCGTAATTTAAAAGGTACATGTCTACACGGCTCTATTTTTCCTACTGAACCTTTTAATTCAATATTATATTTATGTTCTTTTATCTTTCTAAGGCCTTTAAGCAAATCTTTATTTTCTTTCAGTAATATTTTATTTCGTTCATTTACACTTACTATTGAAACGTAGACTTTTTATATCAGTAATTCCAAGCTTTCTACACATTTCAGTAGAGATTATATTACATTGTGCGCCTGTATCAATTTTAAAACGAGACCACGGAAAATTATTATAATCGACAAACTCTACTGTTTGTAGCCAGTCTTTTTTAACATTAATCATATAAACATGAATTAACTCAACAAATAATTCACTGTACTCATTGTCATAAGAATCAACAAAACTCACTTTTTTACTTTTATTATCTTTTATATGACATCCCTTACTAAAATGTCCGATTTTCTTACATGAATTGCATGTTTTACCATATGCCGGGCATAACCACAAATTTTACCGGATGCTGAGTATCTTCCATCTCTTTCTTTAACCACCTGTTGTTGCTTCTGCTTAGCTTGTTCCGTGCCTTTTGGCGCCATTTTTTTGTTGGTGCCTGTTTTGCTTTGTACTGTATTTATGTCAGATTCCAACGAGCCATCCATTTTCTTAACCTGACTCACAGCTAACTCGGCCGCTTTGCATATATGAATCGTTTTTTCCAAATTCAAGTCTCTTAATAATCTGTCCTTTACTTTTATATCACGTATTCCTGCTACTATGCGATCACGAATCTGTTTATCTTTCAAATCGCCAAAGTTGCATTCCGAACTTAATTTTCGTAGTTCCGTCAAGTATGCGTCAAATTTGTCTCCTTCACGTTGATTACGTGTATTAAATATGTGTGAATTTACACTCTCATTTCTTGCAGGTACAAAATATTATTCAAATTTCTTTATTACCTCATCATAGCTCTTCTTTTGTTCCTATGTGAGGTTGAGCGTTTCGTATATGTCGATGCAAGAGTTTCCAATTACATGCAATAAAAGTGCGACTTAATGTTTTTACCGGTTCTGTTTCGTTTACCATTTTTACAGTTTGTTAACTTCAACACTTAACAAAATTCACACAATTAACAAAATTCTCTAATTGCACTTAAACGTTCTTTAGCCGCAGCGCCATGTTGTGTTTGAAGGATTTATATTAATAAACGGTACCACATAAGACAAAATTATTAAGTCGTTTATTTATTAAGATATGTCATTGACACACAACTTGTCCGTCTGGACTCTCTACACGTTCTGACTCAGCCTTGATGTTCGTCTTAACACAAGCCGTGTTGAGCGCCATCTACACAATTCACTTTCTATTACAACAGGCGCAGTACTTGAAGAACTGTTTCTTCAGAGTTTAAAAAGCCACTTACTGTTCTTTATTCCACTCAAAGATTATGTTCTTTTTCGTGAGTTCATAGAGGCTACTAACTACTCTGCCAAAATTTGGAGCGAATCGTCATTAATAAGTACACAGTCCAAGGAAACTCCGCAATTCGTGTAAATTTTTAGGAGTGGGCCAATCTTTTACTGCCTCTATCTTTTTATTAACTGTGCAAATGATTCTCCGTTTTAGCTTACTTCGTTTTTGAGAACGGAACACTTCTTTTGACTTCGCTTTAGACCAGCGCCAGCTATCCGTTGGAAAACCTTTTCTAAGTTCTTAAGCTCTTCATTAAAGCTTTTAACCAACACTATGATATCGTCGAGGTATACCAAACAGGTCTTCCAGTGCAATCCTTTTAATACCTGGTCCATAAGTCTCTCAAAGGTAGGAGGAGCCTTACATAATAAAAAGGACATTATGGTAAATTTCCATAGACCATATCCAACGCTGCAAGCCATCTTTGGCATGATGGATCGAGACTCCAAAGTTACGACTTCACTATAGAACATGGCAAAGGCAGTAGATATGGAAGTGCGTCCCTGTAGTTTGGAATGCAGACATTGCTTAAAGGCTGAGACTATCGATGTCCGATTAATGACTATAATATCAGACTGGAGAAAGCCTAGTCGCAAAGGCTTATTGGGCACAGTGGAATAGTTTGAAGTTAGTGTCTGGCTGCTTGCATCGCGTATGGGAATGCGAAGATAGGCAAAGTTTCCGAGCTCTGATGATTGTTCTGAATGTAAAAATTCCCGAAGTTCTCAACGAGCTGCACAACGGTCCAAGTGGAGGAAACATGGGTATCACTAATACCTTGGAGAAATTAAAACAAAGATTTTATTTGTTGGTTTGAAGTCAATAAGGTACGGAGTGGATCGCCAATTGTTTCGAGTGCACTGCTGCTAAAGGGCCCAGGCGAATTGAGCGAATTGCCATGGATGTAGCTGGTCTATTTCCTATCAGTAAATTAGGAAACAAATATATTTTGGTAGTCATGGATTATTTCAGCAAATGGTCAGAGGTATATGCCATTCCTAACCAAGAGGCAGGAACAGTAGCGGATGTATTAATCTAAAAATGGGTATCGAGATATTACATTCCGGGACGATCAGACTTCTGTGGAGGAAAGTGTGGCGAACACGAATGTCAGAACAAAACAGAATTGACGATAAACTGTTAGAACCAACGCGATAACGAAATTCGTAGTTGCCACAATGTTCGAGTAGAGAAGTTTTGTTAACAATCTACTAAAAAAGGGCTGCCGGATTGTGCAGCTAGACAGTTCTAATTAGAGGGCTGCCGTGTAAAGAGTAACTGAGATATGAGTAAGAAGTTGTAAATTCGAATAATGAGTAGTTAGGTTAGGTTAGATTAGAGGGTCGATCCCAAGAAGGATCACACTTGGACAGCTTAAACGCCGATCCGTTGTGGTACCCAAAACTCCTATGAGCTGGATCAATAGACCTTTACATGCCGACAAAGCGCTTTGTGCCTATGAAAAACTTGTTGAGACGGCCTATATCCGTTTCGGCCAAATCTTCTGGCCCACCAAAAGTGTGATTGCCGAGATGTTTCACTCTCAGCCTAGCAAAAGCCGGACAGTAGAGGAGAAAGTCCCGGGATGTTTCCACTTCACCCTCCTCCATCAGCTTTGACAACTACCATCGGGTAGTATTCTAAGCCGCACCGCATGAGTTCCCATTGGACAGTGCCCAGTAAGAACTCCTACCATGGCGGCGAGGTGAACTTTGTTCAAGGCAAGAAGATCCCCCGACCTCCTGCGATCCACTCTCGGCCAGAAGGATCGCGCAGTCGCGCAGCAGTTGGTCGTCGACCAGCGTCTGCTGAGCGCATGCGAGGTCCATTGGTCCAAAGCCAGCATGCAAGACGTTAGCGGAGAATCAACTCGATCCTATTCCGATGTGAGCGGGGCAATGGTGCCCCCCCTGGCCAGCTCATCGGTCTTGCAATTCCCAACGATTCCGCTGTGACCAGGCACCCAAACGAGATTGATATTGAAGTAGCCTGATGCTAATTCTAGTGAGGACAGACACTCCTTGACTAGCTTTGAATGCACGGTTCGCGCACTCAGGGCTTGTATTGCCGTTCTGCTGTCGGAGTGAATGCTCACCTCTCTAAACGAAGCTGCACTTCGTAACAGTACTTCTACCGCCACCTTGATCGCGGCCACTTCCGCCTGAAAAACGCTACAGTTTTCCGGTAGCCTGAAGCAAAGCTTGATTGAGAGCTCTTTACAGAAACCCCCCCCCCCCAACTTTCCCTCTTAGCTTCGACCCATCCGCGAAAAAGCTCACCGCGCCTCTTCTCCAGCGGCTTCTTCCCCTCCAAATCTCCCTCGTCGGGATATGAGCAGAGAAAAAGTCGCCTCGAGTGGCCGCTGTGACGCACTGATCCAAATTTTCAGGAATGCAGCTGACGGAGGAGAGAATTGTGGCGTGTCCTTGTTCGGACCTCTTCAAGAGCCCAGCTTCCCTGAGCCTAATAGCACACCTCGCAGCAATGCACCTGCCGGCAATGTCCACAGGTGCTATATTTAATATAGCGTTGAAAGCTATCGTTGGTGTGGTTCGCAGTGCACCGGAGATTCCGATGAGCGCCGCTCTTTGGACTCGCTCAAGCTTTTTAGCCAAGGTAGTCTTTTCGAGCGCCCTCCACCAGACGAACACACCATAGAACAATATTGGCTTGACTACGGTTTCGTAGAGCCAGAACACCACCATTGGTGAGAGTCCCCACCTTTTCCCTATAGCTCCCCTGCAGCAATATAAGGCGACTGATGCCTCCTTGACTCTCTCTCGATGTTCGGATTCCAAGAAAGCTTTCTATCAAGGATGAGCCCTAGGTATTTCACCTTATCAACAGGTTGGAGACCTGAACCCCCGAAAGAGGGGAGAGACACATTTGGGACCTTATACCCTCTAGTAAATGAAACCATTTCGGTTTTACTTTGGTTGACGGCTAGGCCGCTTCTATTTGCCCAGTTGGATACCACGTTTAGGTACCCTTCGGTGGGCTCATAGACGGTATTCAGGAATTTACCTTTAACCATAAGAAGCACATCATCAGCATAGGCTATCACCCGACAGCCTTGCTCCTCGAGTTCTTTAAGTAGGTCGTGTACCACCAAGATCCAGAGCAGTGGGGAGAGTACTCCTTCCTGCGGAGTTCCCCTATTAACCTTTCTGGTTGACTTGGCACTACCCCACTCCGCTACGACAGTTCTGTCGCAGAGAAGACTGAAAATTAGGTGTTTGAGGTTCGATTCCACCTCAAACTTTTCGAGGGCTTTAACTACTGCCTCTGGCCGCACGTTATTAAAGGCCCCCTCGATGTCGAGAAAGGTGCCCACTGCAAATTCCTTGTGCAACAGCGCTTTCTCCAGCCATGACACTACATCATGCAAAGCAGTGTCGACCGACCTGCCCTTGATATAGGCATGCTGCACCCGTAACAGTTTACCCCTCGGTATTCTGCACCTAATGTACAGCTCCATAAGTCTCTCCAGCGTTTTCAACAGAAACGAGGATAGGCTGATGGGTCTGAAATCTTTTGCACCGGCATGAGAGCTTTTACCGACCTTCGGAATAAACGTAATCTTAACCTGTCTCCAGGCCTTCGGGACGTGGCCCAATCTAACACAGTTCGCGTAGATGGGGGCCAGCCAGCTACATGACACCTTAACCGTACGCTGTAGTTGCGCCGGTATGATGCCATCGGGACCCGGGGACTTGAAGGGCTTGAATGATTTCAGCGCCCAGGTAAGATGACGCTCATCCAGAAGGTCCAAGAAGGCTGTACAGCCTTCCTGAAGCTCCCCCAGTGACACTTTTTCAGTGGAGCGATTCAGCGGAAAATGAGCATCTAGGAGTAGCTTCAGCGATTCCTCACTACTCGTAGTCCACCCGTTATCTACATTTCTTAGATACCCCACTGGAGTAGGATTTTTTGCAAGAATGCGTCTAAACCTTGAGGACTCGTGACAACCCTCTACACTGCCGCAGAAGGCTCTCCCCGAAGCCCTCTTGGCTTTCTTCAACTCGGGTTTGTAAATGGCCAGTCCGGCCTTGTACAACGCCCAGTCGTCACTAGAGCCACTTTATTGAAGAGTCTTATACTCGAAGATCTAATCTCCGTTAGCTCCTAAGTCCACCAAGGGGGTTTCGCTTTAGTATTCTGAGTTTTGAGAAGACAGGAGCTTTCAAGAGTAGTTCTACTAACAGAGCTGAAAACCTCAACGAGCTCCTCAATCGCGACCGCAGATAGGATCGGATCCCTGTCAGGCGCGGTTGGAAGAGCTGATCGAAGCTTCCTGCAATACAGGACCCAATTGGTATTCCTGAAGTTTCTGTAGGTTCTATGCTTCGGGTGCGAAGCGTCCAAGCTGAACCCAATATATTTATGATCAAAAAAGGAGTGGTCGTCTAGAACTCTCCATTTTGAGATCAAGGGAGCAATTTTCCTAGAGGCTAGCGTGACGTCAAGGACTTCCGCCCTGCTAGCTGCCACAAAAGTAGGGCAGTTTCCCCTATTGCAGATAAAAAGATCTACATCTCAAATAAAATCAAAAAGTGACTCACCCGAGCCTATTAGAACCGCGGCTCCTTTGAGGATCTTCATCCGCCAAACTCCTCTCCAGCAGTGCGAGTTCCGCACCATCGTCCATATCGTCGACGCCAGCCACCTCGAACAGACGCTCGAAACTGAAGACGGATCCATCATCACCTGACGATCCGCCCTCCGTGCTCACCGCGTCTAAGAGGACAGGGTCGACATCCATTTTCGAGAGGGAAACTTTCCCACTCTCAGGAGATCCGATTTGGCCACCGCCTCGAGCCTTGCTCCTTTCCACACCTCCCCTACCCTGGCTACCGCCTCCTTATAAAGGATAATGAGTAGTAAAGCGTTAAGTTTTGGTTGAGAAGTAAAGATAAATGTATAGCCATTAAATTGGGACTTTTATTTAACAATCAAGTGATCGTACTCAAGAGTGAGTTACAATGTAGACTATTTATCGAGAAACCCGCTACAATATTAAATTTAGCCTCTTCGGTTGATTCATATCACATATATCTCATTTGAGGACGATGTTAATATAATTTTCGCCAAAACACTCCTTTTCGCACTGGCGGTCTCTGGCCATGATCCAACACCAGGTATCATAAGTTTTTCGCTTAGAACTCCTTTTTTAATTTTGGGAATTTTTTATTTTGGGGATTTTGTGTTTGGGGAATGAATTTTTGGTGGTTTCGATCCTCTCCAGAATATATGATCTATAACAGCGTTCTTTAACGCGTGGGTCGCGACCCAATGGGGGGTCACTACAAAACATTATTATTTGTATCTAATTAACAAAGACTAAAATATTGAGATCTCTTCCATCTTATACAATTCAATAAGATTAAAAACAAAAAACAAAAATGAACCAATGAGTTTACTCTTAATGGGAAAGTTGTGCTTGTTTTGCGTTGACCAATTTCTACCAAAGTGGATCTGTTCTTGCTACTTTGAGAATTAAATCGTTTTCCAAATTCAAACGATTTCTTTCCTTACTTTTAATTTGGGCCATGGAAGAAAATGTTAGCTCGCACAAGTATAAAGTAGCAAATGGAATCAAACACTTCAAAGTCTCTGTGGTTAACTCTGGGTATTTCCTTTTAAACCAAAAGGTATCCAAATTGCAGCATTCCATCGGCAGATAAGTCAAGCAGATTTTCTTTGAGCTTAATTGTCGAATTTGCCACGTGTATAGCTGCATTCAAAAACGGATTTGTCCAGTGTTCGTATTTCTTGCACTGAGAAGTAACGACACAGTTCGTCATTCAAATTTTTCAACACTATTTTCATAGCAGGCATAAATTCTTTGATGTTTATCTAACATCCTTCACACACTAAAGAGGTGGCGTCATGAAAAATATTGAAAAACACTGATCTATAATATAAGTTAATAAGAAAGCAAATATAAATGTAACCCACTTGATGGTAATTCCCCCGGCTTTGAGCCTTGCAAATTGCGAACTCAGCTCTTCCTAACTTGTTGTCTTTTAATTTTTTTTAATCTGAGCAGTAATTTACTTCCGGCAGTGAAAAATTGATCTGGTTGAAAAACAAATTTTCTTGAATATTAAATACATTGTGGGTAGGCATCTTTAAACTGAAATTTTATTTAAAAGGACAGGTAGCCCTAGCTCATAAACACAACTATTTCACACGCACCCATCTCTATTCACATGTGTACATGTACATAGTTATATATGTTAATACCCCGACCCTATATTTGTGCTGTTGTGTCTGTGTTCATGTCTCATTGTTGGGCACCACACATTTCTCTTCTAAACATCAACCTTCAAACGTCTATTTTTGGATGAATTTATTTTAGTGATATATGTACATTGCGATATTCTTCTGAGTGGTTCATGCTTTGGTGCCGTGTATATAATCTACTTTAGTTCAATAAATATTAATTTTGTTAAATAAAATTAACTAAACCGCTTTAACTTACAACTCTTTTCTGCTCAGTTCGAATAAATTAAAAGGGGTCATGTCCACTTGTGCGATATGCGATCAGCCGACCAAAAACAAATGTTCAAATTGTAATCAAAGCTTCTATTGCTGCGCGGAGCATCAAAAACAACACTGGAAGACACACAAAGTCAGTTGCAGGCCTTTCAAAGTAACTACAATATATTTCTGTGTCAGCATAACTGTTTATGTATATACATATGTATGTATGTAGATGTGTAATTATTCCATATGCAAAGACGTGTACATATACATATGTATATGTATTTGTACACAATCATACGTACGTAGATGTAATATGTATGTATGTGTATTTCTTCCCACCTTCACAAAAAATTCGTATTCAAAGGTGGAGTACTCCGATCAACTAGGAAGGTATTTGGTGTCTACCCGAAGCATAAAACCATTTGAAATCATCCTAAGGGAAGCTCCCCTAATATGTACGCCTTCCCAAGTAACAAATCCCGTTTGCCTAGGCTGTTTGAATGGAATCGAGCCTTCAGACTACGTTGAGTGCGATAAATGTGGTTGGCCGCTTTGTGGTGTTGAGTGTAAGGGCAAAGCTGACCACCAAGCTGAGTGCGAATTTACCGTAAAAAGAGGTTCAAAAGTAAGTGAACACGGCTTTTTATTTAGTTTCTTTAATTTGTTTATTAATTTCTGAAAGCTAATATTCAAGTGACGTTTGTGTTGTTGATGCCGATACATTTTGTTTATAGCTGGGCAGTGGTAAAATTTTGGAAACCTTTTTTTTAAAGTAATTTATTTTAAAGCAAACTATTTGACATTAAGCCGCTAAAATATAATCTGGCTCTGCTTTTTTTAAATTAAATTTTACTTTGCAACGAAAAACAAAAGAAAAATTGGATGAAGTTCATTTGGGCAAAAACGATTAATAATCACTCCCACTTGCTACAATGAAAAATTGTTCAAAAGTTCTAAAAGTGCGATATATTTTTAACAAATAAAGAAACGTTGCTATCTATAGCACAAATAAATTTGCTATAAAAATTAAAAATTAGTCCCACTATTAAAAAAGATTAGCAAATACGTATAAATATTTCACAAACTTTGAACTCTTACGTATTTCGAGAGAACTGAATATCGCTTACAAATGTTTGGGGCAACGTATGACGTATATGACTGTACATTTCATTGATTTTTATAATCTAGTAACATATTACAGAGTATATTAGTTTTGTTCAACTAAAGGTTGTTTGTATCACCTAAAACTAATCGAGTTAGATATAGGGTTATATATATAAAAACGATCAGGATGAAGAGACGAGTTGAAATCCGAGTGACTGTGCGTCCGTCCCGTCCGTCTGTGCAAACTGTAACTTGAGTAAAAAATGAAATAACATGATGAAACTTGGTACACATGTTTCTTTTTACCGAAATTATCGCTCAATAAATGATATATATAATTGGAATTCATGGTGAATTTTTTCTTGATAATATTATGTCTGTACATCTCTTAGAAAGATAGAAAGATTTTCGAACTTCCAGCTGATTTTATACCGCATATTCGGCTAATATATAAGTTATCTTAATAAAATTGTGCGGGCGTGTTTTCCTAATAGCGGTGCATCTGTGTGCACAAAATAGATAAAATCAATCTCAAAACTTGCCCCAGCCCGCATAAAACTACTTGTAATATCAAGATTTTCAAACATCCGGTTGACTCCTTAGATATATATTGTTGATGGTATATGAGGTACCGGAATGAAACTGAGAGGGCATTTTTTGCGTTATCAGGATGAAGAGACGAGTTAAAATCCGGGTGACTGTCCGTCCGTCTGTTCAAGCTGTAATTTGTAAGACGGTTGGTATTGCAGATGTACGTAATCGGACCACTGCCGTGCCCACAAAACGCCATTAACCAAAAACAAATAAATTGCCATAACTAACCTCGACAATAAGTTACAAGACTGTGATTTGGTATACAGGATTACATTAGGGAGGGACATCTGCTGTTTAAATATTTTTTTGTTAAGTGGGCGTGGGCCCGCTCCCTAACAGGTTTAATGTGCTTATCTCTTAAGCCACTAAAGCTATAATAACAAAATTCACTGAGAACAAATGTTTTTAGCACCTCTATACCCATGAAAATGGGTGAAATCGGGTGACAACCCTGCCCACTCCTCATATAACAGTACTGTTAAAAACTACTAAAGTGCGATAAGTCAAGCACTAAACACGCCAGAGACATTAAATTTTATCTCTGGAATGGTATGAGGAACCGAGTTGAAAATTAAACAGGTGGCGTGGTAAGCCACAATGTTTGTATCGGGGTAAAACTTTGCGTGAATAATGCGTTTAAAGTATGCCACCTTGTGATCAGAAATTGTCTAAATCGAACCAAAACTGGTCAGGCCCCTAGGTACTAAATATGTGAACCCCAGTACCTATAGTTGACTTTTTACCGAAAATATCGGTCAATGTGTAAGATATAGAATTTAAATTCATATAATAAAATTAATAAACTTTCGATAATAGTATGTTTTTGTGTCAAAAATGGGTTGAAGGGGATCAATACTTCATTTAATATAAAATTTTGCCAACACCTGAAGTAATTTCCCGCGCTTTGATCCTTGCAAGTTGCGAGAGTATAAAATGTTCGGTTACACCCGACTTAGAACTTCCTGACTTGTTTTAATATGAAGATTTGCTAACACTTTAAGGTATTTCCCCAAATTTGATCCTTGTAAGTTGCAAGAGTATAAAATGTTTGGTTACAGCCGAAGTTAGCACTTCCTGGCTTGTTTTTGTAATTTTGTACAATAATATAATATGCCTTAAATTTATCTGTCGTTTAGGTTTCAGTAAAAGAATTTACAAATCCTCATCCATTATACCAATGTATGGGGACAGTACGTTGTCTACTTTTGGCGAAAAATTATCCTGAAAAATGGAAAATGTTTTTAAAGCTTGAATCTCTGGAAAGACAACGGCGAGGTTCCATGCAATGGAAGGCCGATTTAGAAAGTATTGGCAAATTTATACCAAGGTATGTAGATACACAAACCGGACAATATTACCCATTTGCAGTCATGTGTTTAAGTTATATAAATATTATAGGTTTTAAAGAAATTAGAGCATTAATAGTATGCAATAATACTTAACAAACAAGCGTATAGGTATACATGCACAAAACTGAGGGATATGCTGAAATAATATTATTATTTTCTAAAAATATTACTTCTGCTTTCAAGATCCTCCAGTTGAGACAAAAAATTCTCTATCATAGATAGTTACAAAAGCTATACTGGAAAAAATTAACCAGTATAATATTCACCACGAATTTAAAAGTATGGTCAACTTGAAAAATCATCACTGATCATTGAAGAAAAAATTAAACCCGATCCTACTTATTACATATCTACCTATTTGAATAAAATTTGATATACAACATTCCCATAACCTCTTAAGCCATTGCACGGGTTGAAAATGGGTAGAAAATCACGTTCGTCGAACATACCTCCATGACTGTTAGTTCACAATAGCGAAACTTACCAAGAAGCCAATCGAGTGGTAATTTCATTAATTGAAAATATTGATATCATTATATATATCATTCGCATTAAATTCTTATAAATGGCCAGAATATCCAATATATGCGTTTTATTCGAACAAAGCGAATTACAAATTCATTTCAAATTATTTCAACTAACTGCTATTAATATAAAATTCTTTCCCGTTAAATATATTTTTACCCTTTAAATAGATGTAACTGCATGGATATGAATTGTTTAACTTTTAACGTATAGGTTTTTTAAAACAACTGAGTTTAACGAGGATTTGATTATGAAGACAATTGGCATTTTGCAAATAAACGGGCATGAAGTACCCGTCACAGATCCACCGCATGTAGCGATCTTTAGTAACGCTTCGTTTTTGGAGCACTCCTGCAGCCCGAATTTAGCTAAAAGCTTCACAAGGGAAGGAAATATAATTCTATGGGCACCAAAGGCAATTAAAAACAAAACTCATTTGAGTATTTGCTACTCCGATGCCGTTTGGGGTACTGCAGAGCGTCAACAGCATCTTATGCACACGAAACTCTTTAAATGTGTATGCCAGAGGTGTTTAGATGTTACGGAATGCGGAACTAATTACGATGCCTTCAAGTGCACCACCTCCGTCTGTGATGGGGCTATTTTACCAACAAGTCTAAGGGAATGGAATTCGGCTTGGAGGTATGGTACCATATTAATTATAAGTAAATTTGCAGTTATATCTATACATTAGCTGTTACATGGTTTTTGTTTTAGATGCTCTACTTGTGGAGCTCAAGCGGACATATCATTTATAAAAAGTATTTTAGAAAAAGCTGGAAAAGACTTACAGGCTATGGATAAAACTGTGGAAAATTGCATAAAGTAAGTTAATGTGCATATGCCTCATAAATAAATAAATAAATTTAGTATTACAGTAATATGGTATTATAAACGGGAGATCACTATTCAAAACAAAACATCAAAATATTAAATATTTTTGAAATGTCAAATTGGTTTATCCCTATAATTTTATACCTTATACTTTTTTGTCGTTAACTGTTTTTTTTTTCAATATTAGACGAACTCAGTAGTTTAGGTTTGGGAGTAAAAAGTTGTTTCCCGAATTTTAAGTTTGACGTTGGCGTGCATGTTTGATTGGGTTTAAAGGGCAAACCTGGTACAAACCCGTCTCACTTGGACAGCTTAGAACACCATTTTGTTGCCATACTTAAAATTCATATATATTAATTTTAAAAACTCAGAAATCGATAAAGTGCTTTGATCCTATCACGAATTTGTTGAGGGGCTAATATCAATTTCAGATACCAATAAGGTTCTCCGAAAATATTACTGCCAAGATATTTCAACCTCAATCTACCAAAAGCTGAATAATGGAGCAGAATGTATCTGGAACTTTAAGCGCATAGTGAGCAAGCTCAATGTTTCTGAAAAAGGCTGCACTTTGAACAATACGTTTACTGCTACCTTAATGGCAGCTACTTCTGCATGAAATACACTATAAAGATTCGGTAACCGAAAACTAAGCTTAATGACTTAACCTT